TTCCTCCAGCAGCCGGGCGGAGGGCCGTGCTTCCTGGGACGCTGGGATCCCGAGGAGCTGTCGTCCCTGCATTCCAGCCCCTCGCCCATCCGCCGCCACCCGTTCAGCGCCGACGCCAGTCCCACCGATCCGGCCGAGCCGCGCGGCGAGGATGGGGGGTCCGAGCGCTGCGACTCCGGAGAGGCGGAAGGTCGAGAAAGGGAAGAGTCTGACCTTTGTGGGAACCGACTCTTCGGCGACCCCGCGGAGAGTCATTTCCACCCCTCCGGTCAGGGAGAGTGGAGGGGCTCCGGCTCGGACGGCTGGCTGAGCTCTCCGGAGCCAGAGCGCCACCGGTCCATGAAGACGCACAACAACAACCACATCAGGCTGGAGGGTTACGAGAAAAACAAGGGAGCGGCCTTACCGCCGGCTGGTAAATGGCGTTTGTTCCCGAGTGTCAGGAGAGGGAGGGGGGGGGGGGGTCTCTGGCTCTGCTCTCTGACGGACCGATGCGTTTTCCCGCAGGGACGCAGCTGTTCGCGCTGTACAACCACACGGAGGAGGCCAGCACCTCTCAGAGGTTCTACTCGCTCAGGGTTCCGCTGCAGGTGCGGACGGAGGCCGGGCTGGTCGCGGAGCTGGACGCCGACTGGCTGGACCACATGACTCAGCACTTCTCCGGCGGCGCGCGGCTCGTGGACGGCTTCTTCAACCTGCCGGACGATAGCGGTTGGTGCAGCCCGGTCATCGCCTGCAGACACACTTAATTCGCCCTAAAACGTGCGGAAAAGTCGGAGCTCGAAGGGATGCGGCGCTCCCTCCTTCAGCCGGGGAGCATTGCCATGAAGTCTTCCGTTGTGGCCGCTGAGCGTTTAATGAATATTGCAAGCTTGGAAAGTTCAGCAAGTTAGAACTGATGAAGCCTCTTAGACGAGAGGCCAAACATGTTCTAGAAAACTCCACGTCCCGTTGCCTTACTGAACTTTCCAAGCTTGACCAGGACCTGGATGATTAAGAGTCTTCACAGATTTAATAATTATCGCAGCTCTGAAGTGTTTATTTTTGGTTGTAACCTGTGAGTGGAACCGGGGGTGTTAAGAGCTCCCGAAATGCCACAGATCCCTGCTCGGCTGTTCGGTCGGCCGCGAACGAGCCCGACTAAATCCAGACAGAACGCGCTTCACCTGTGTGAGAGGGGTGGGGGGAGATTGACTTTTAAGCTTGTAGTCAAAAATCCATCCACCCTCCTGTGGGCTGACTGACTCTCCCTCTAAAGTTGTCTTTCCTCTTCCCAGATGACGGCCCTTCGTCCGTGGACAGCGTGTTCATCTTCCAGAGCTCCGCTGAGGAGAACACCAACGCCTCCTATGACGCGATCGTGGTGGAGCAGTGGACAGTCGTCGATGTGAGTTGGGATTGCCGGATCCGATGTGGACTTTGCAAGCGGGACCTTAAATGCGCCCACTGACGTCCTTTTCCGCCGGATTTTCCTTCTCCTTCCAGGGCGTCGTGGTGAAGACGGACTACGTCCCGCTGCTGCAGTCCCTGGCTCCGTACGGATGGAGGCTGATGTGCGTGCTGCCCAC